CCTGGCCAACATGGTGAAACCCTGTCTCTACTAAAAATACAAAAAATTAGCTGGGCATGGTGGTACACACTGTTGTTCCAGCTACTTGGGAGGCTAAGGCAGGAGAATCGCTTGAACCTGGGAGGAGGAGGTTGCAGTGAGCCGAGATCACGCCACTGCACTCCAGCCTGGTGACAGAGTGAGACTCCGTCTCAAAGAAAGAAAAAGTCAAGATATAATCCACATATAAAATTCACTCTTTAAAAGTGCAAAATTCACTAGTTTTCAGTATAATTACAACATCGTACAACTATGACTACTCTCTCATCGCAGAACATTCTCATCACCCCTAGAAGAAATACCCATCAGCAGTCACTACCTCCCACAGCCTCCCTTCAGCCCTAGGCAGTCACCAATCTAGTTTCTGTCTCTATGAATTTATCTATTCTAGGTATTTCATATAATAAAGGAAGCTGGGTATTTCATATAATAAAGGAATCTGGGTCATATAACAAAGGAATGTAAAGGAATCATGCAATGCGTGGCCTTTTGTGACTGGCTTCTTTCACTCGGCATAATATTTTCAAAGTTCATCCATGTTGCAGCATGTCTCTGTACTTCATTAATTTTTATGTGGAATAATATTCCACTGTATGATATACCATGTTTTATTTGTCCATTCATCAGTTGATGAACATTTATTTAGGTTGTTTCCGCTTTTTGGGTCTTACGAATAACGCTGCCATGAACATTTCTATACAAGTTCTAGTGTGAACATGTGTTTTTAATTCTCTTGGATTTATAACTAGGAGTGGAATTTTGAGGAACTGCCGAACTGTTTTTAAAAGTGACTGCACAGGCCAGGCACGGTGGCTCACACCTGTAATCCTAGCACTTTGGGAGGCCGAGGTGGGGAGATCACTTGAGGTCAGGGGTTCGAGGCCACCTGGGCAACATGATGAAACCCCGTCTCTACTAAAAATACAAAAAATTAGCCAGGCGTAGTGTCATGCACCTGTAGTCGGAGCTACTTGGGAGGCTGAGGCAGGAGAATCATTCGAACCCAGGAGGCGGAGGTTGCAGTGAGCTGAGATCATGCCAGTGCACTCCAACCTGGGTGACAGAGCAAGACACTGTCTCAAAAAAAAAAAAAAGCTGCATCATCTTACATTCCCACCAGTAATGTATGAGGGTCCTAGTTTCTCCACATCCTCACCAACACTTGTTTTTTTGTCTTTTTGATTGAAGCCATCCTAGTAGGTGTGAGGAAGTATCTAGTGGTTTTGATTTGCATTTAACAATTAAATTATTTATCCTTTTATTGTTGAGTTATAAGATTTCTTTATATATTGTGGATGCTAGACCCTTAACAGATACATATGATTTGAAATATCTTCTCCTATTCTGTAGGTTGCCTCTGCATTTTCCTGACAGTGTCCTTCGAAGAACAAAATTTTTGATTTTGATGAAGTCCGAATTATCTATTTGTTTCATTTGGTTGGTTGTGCTTTTGGTGTCATATCAAAGAAACCGTTGCCTAATCGAAGGTCTTGAAGGCTTATTTTTTTCTTCTAAGAGTTTTAGAGTTTTAGCTCTTGCATTCAGGACTTTGATTCATTTCAATTACTTTTTGTATATGTTAAGAGATAAGGGTCCAACTGTATGACATTGGTCTGGGCAATTATTTTTTTGAATTTGACTCCAAAATCACAGGTACAACAAAAATATACAAATGGGATTACTTCAAACTAAAAAGCTTCTGCACCACAAAGGAAACAACAGAGTGAAGAAACAACCTATAGATTGGGAGAACATATTTACAAACCATACATGTGATAAGGGGTTAATATCCAAATAATACAGTTGACTGTATCCGAAGAATACAGTTAAAAATGGTCAAAGGACTTGAATAAACATTTCTTAAAAGAAGACCTGCAGGCTGGGTACGGTGGCTCACGCCTGTAATCCCAACACTTTGGGAGGCCGAGGCAGGTGGATCGCTTGAGCTCAGGAGTTCCAGACCAGACTGGCCAACATGGTGAAACCCTGTCTCTACCAAAAACATAAAATTAGCCGGATGTGGTGACACACACCTGTAGTCCCAGCTACTCAAGTGGCAGGGCACAAGGATCACTTGATCCCAGGAGGTGAAGGTTGCAGTGAGCTGAGATCATGCCACTGTACTCTAGCCCGGGCGACAGAGAGAGACTATCTCAAAAAAAAAAAAAAAAAAAAAACCAACAAAACAAAAACCAGAAGACATACAAATGGCCAACAACTATATGAAAAAGCGTTCAACATTACTAATCATTAGCGAAATGCAAATTAAAACCACAATGAAATATGACCTCACACCTATCAGAGTGGCTATTATCAAAAAGATGCAAGCTAAGTGTTGGCAAGGATGTGGAGAAAAGAGACCCCTTGTACACTGTTGATGGGAATATAACTTAGTACGGCCATTATGGAAAATTGTATGAAGATTCCTCAAGAAACTAAACATAGAATTACCATATGATCCAGTAATCTCTGGGAATGTATCCAAAGAATTTGAAATCAGTATGTCAAAGACATACCTCACTCCCGTGTTCCTTGCAGCATTATTCACAATCAACCTAAATGTTCATCAGTGGATGAATGGATAAAGAAAATGTGGTATATGTACACAATGGAATACTATTTAGCCTTAAAAGGAAGGAAATTCTCTTATTTGCAACAACATGGATGAACCTGCAGGACATTATGCTAAATGTAATAAGTCAAGTACCAAAAGACAAATACCGTATGACCTCACTTGTATATGGAATCTGAAACAATCCAACTCATAGAAGCAGAGAGTAGGAGGTGGTTGCTAGGGGCTGGGGTTGTGAGAACAGGGAGGTTATGGCCAAAGGATATAAAGTTTCAGTTAGAAGGAATAAGTTTTGGAGACCAATTGCACAACAGGGCACCTATAATTAATAATAGTGTATTGTATATTTCAAAATTGCTGAGAGTAACTTTCAAATGTTCTCACCACAAAAAAATGATAAGTATTTGAGGTGATGGGTACGTTAGTAGCTTGATTTAATCATTCCACATTGTATAAATATATCATAAATCTTTGTACATCATAAATATATACAATTACAATTTGTAAATTTACAATGAAAAATATGATATTAGCTATGAGTTTTTCTATATGCCCTTTGTCAGGTGGAGAAAGTTCCCTTCTATTTCTACTTGATTCATTGTTTTTATCATGGAAGAGTTTTGGGTTTTGTTAAGTGCTTTTTTCAGGTCAGATCATGTGGTTTTTGCACTTTATTCCATTAAGGTGTATTACGTTGATTGATTTTCATATCAACCAACCTTGTATTCCTGAGATAGATCCCACTTGGTCACAGTACATAAACCTGTTTTTATGTTGCTGTTATCAGTTTGCTAGTATTATGTTGAGGATTTTTGTATCTCTATTCGTAAGGGATATTGGCCTATAGTTTTCTTTTCTTGTAATATCTTTGTGATGGTTTTGGTATCATGGTAATACTAGCCTCACAGAGTGAGATGGGAAGTGTTTCGTCTTCTTTTTGTGGAATAATTTGTGAAGCATTGGTGTTTTTCACTATTTTGCAGTGCAATTTAGCTCTTCTCAGCCTCTATTCTAAAAGGTAAAAAGAGGCAGGTGAGAGGGACCTCCTTGTGCCTCTAGATTTCATCACTGTGTGATACCTGGATCTATGGCAGCCTCTCTGGGAATATAATGGGAGATATTCCCAAGTCAGCATCCTAAGGGTGGTGGAGGAGAAAGAAGGAAAGAACCCATGTACTTTATGAGTAATTGAATAATCAACCTGGAGCCTCTCTGTCTCCATACCTCATATGGACACGTTTTTATTGTTTAAGTCCCCTTTGGTTATGGTTTTAGTCATTTGCAGCTGAAAGCATATCTGATAGTTAACATATCCATTGCAACAGGAGCATTCTCTGTTTATTGTCTTCCACTTTCTGTGTCATCAGGCTGAGAACACTAATTGTGCCTACAGAAAAGTCTCCCAAGGAGGATGTGATAGTCACTGGTTTCTGGGTAAAGTAAACCAGCGACAACCTCAAGGTTACATGGAATTCAAGTCTGCCGGAGCCCTCTGGGCTGAACTGAACATTTAAGCATCCTTGAGGGTTAACATTCTTGCCCCTCGTGTGAAGGTAGTTAAAACACAGGACAGTTTGGGTTTGGGGAGATGCACAGTGGACCCGAGTTGTAACTCACACACTAACCTTGTGTATGTGCCAGGGTTCTCCAGAGGAATGCAGCCAATAACATTCTGTGATGGCCCCAATTCCTGCCTCTGGTGAACATACCCTATATAATCTCCTTCCTTCTTAAGTGTGGATGGGACAGTGAATACCATGTTATAAGACAAATGTGAAAGGGTTTTGTAGGTATAATCAAGGTCCCAAATTAGCTGATTACGAGGCGATTAAAAGAAAGACTATCCTGGGTGGGCCTGGCCTAATCAGGTGAGTCCTTAACTAGATCTTTAGATCCTTCCTGAAGAGAAAGATCTGAAGTGGAGAGGGCCTATTGAGGGGACCATGTGTCAAGGGCTTGAAAGCAGCCTCTAGTCACTGAGAATGCTTCCTAGATGATGGCTAGCAAAGAAAATGGGGACCTCAGTCATAGAGCTACAAAAAAATGAATTCTGTCATCGATCTGATGGAACTTAAAGATGGCACTTTTCCTGGTTGAACCTCCACATGAAGATGAATCTGGCTAGCAAGTTGATTTCAACCTTGTGAGACCCTGAGCAGAGAACCCACTTAACATGTGCTGGGCTCCTGGCCTCAGAAACTGTGAGATTATAAATTTGTATTGCGCTAAGATAACTAGGTTTATGGTCATTTATTATGCAGTGATAGAAAATTAATACAGGTACCATTTCAAATATTGTACCTTTATATTGGAAAAAAAAGCTAAATATCAACAAGGAGCAAATTGCAAAAAGTAATGTTTGACAATGCAGGAAATGACAGAGATCAAATGCTTTTGTGTTTCTTCATTCAACTTTGTCACTTCTAATGAAACTCCAGGGACAAGGGACTGGATTGGGGAGAATTTAGGGGATGTACTTATATCTTCCTCCAGATGGTTGACCACACATGCTCAGCCCTTGGGAGGCTAGTGCACCTGTGTGACCCTCGTCCTGGCCCTGGGACAATCTTGGCCAGTGGAAGTCACAATCAGCCCTGGCCTGTACACATTCTGGGGTTCCTTCTGTCAACAAGAGATCTACTCTAGGTGAGACTATCCAAGTTAAAAAGAGTTACAGCTTTGAGAGAGAGTACCTACAATATATGGGACAGATATCTGGTTGAATTATTGTTCTCTATGGTGTGAGACGTGGTTATTTCTTAAAATCTTGTAACCCAGTAGAAATGATTTGGGCGGATCAGCTTGCTAGGTAGCTCCACTTGTGCTATGACCAGTTTTGGCATGAGAGTAGTTAGGGATAGCAGGAAGATCATGTCCCATCTATAAGTGACTAAATTATTTATAAATTGATTTTAAAAAATGATCAAAACTGCTGACTTTTTATTAACCTTAGAGAAGACGTTTTGGGGATTACTTTTTAATGTCATAGATCTGTACAGGACAATTTTCTTTTCTTTCTTTGGCTTTGATGGGATCAAAGGTACTTGTGAGAATTTCTAGCTTGCAAGACAATGGAAAATGAGAAGAGAATTGCATACCTTTTCTGTTGTTACATTGACAATGAAAATGAGAATCAGATGGAGGGCTTAATTTTTTTTTTTTTCAAATTTAAAAAATGTCCAGTCATTTGTACAAATGCTTTAAAAGCCTTGAGATTTTAGGAATGTTGTATTTGCAATTATTCTGCTTTAATAATTAATTGCTAATATGTTTTAATCACTGAGAACCTTGTTTTGATCATTAAGAATTTACAATGTAAAGATCATTTCAAGGTCAAATTTCAGATGTTAATCATCATAACCTAATGCATGTAAATCTCTGCTGAATTCAGTTTAAAAATAAAAAGTAAATCATTAATTCGAACTAGCATACTTACTGGAAATTGTCTTTTATTTTTCTTTACTGTGGTTCAAGGTCATTTCTTTAATCAAACCTCAGACTTTGATATAGAGTCATCAAAACAAAAATCATTCTTCTTCCTCTCTTTCCCTAAAAATACAACACTCACAGGAGACCTAACTTTCCTTTTTTCTTAATTGTTCTCATCTCATCTTTAATTATTGCTGCTGCTGTTATGTGTTTATGTTTACTTTTTTTTAAAAGTTTTGAGGGCAGATCATGTCACTGGGCATAAGATACTGAGAAATCAGATAACTTTACTGGCTAGTAGGGGACTTTGCTTTTGAAACATCACAGGCTGTCTTCCTTTGGATGTAATGACACCCTGATGACCCAAGTCGTCTGCTTAGCTGTGTTCTGACCAGGGCCTTGGGGATATGGATGACCAGCATGGGCTCTACAGTGGGTTTCCCTGGGTTTGAGTCCTCAGCACCACTTGTTAGTTCTGTGACTGTGGAAAGTTTTCATCCATCCTGTGACTCACCTCCTCATCTGTAAAATGGGAACAAGAAGAGCACCAATTACTTAATTAGCCAATTAATTAACTAGAGATGGTGTCGCTCTGTCACTCAGGCTAGTGCACAGCAGTGAGATCATAGCTCACTGCAACCTCGAACTCCTGAGCTCAAGGCATCCTCTTGCCTCAGCCTCCAGAGTAGCTGAGTCTACAGGCATGAGCTACTGCATCCAGCCAGGTAATCTCTTTAATTCATGCTACAGACAAAATGTAACCCCTCATCTCCCCTCCCCTCCCCTTTTCTTTTCTTTTTGAGATGGAGTCTTGCTCTGTTGCCCAGGCTGGAGTACAATGGAGCAATCTCAGCTCACTGCAACCTCTACCTCTCAGGTTCAAGCGATTCTCCTGGCTCAGTCTCCTGAAAAGCTGGGATTACAGGCGTGAGCCACCACACCTGGCTAATTGTTTTTGTATTTTTAGTAGAGATGGGGTTTCACCATGTTGGCCAAGCTGGTCTTGACTCCTGACCTCAGGTGATCCACCCGCCTTCCAAAGTGCTGGGATTACAGGTCTGAGCCACCCTGCCTTTACTTTGATCTGGTCTTTTCCTGAACCTACTCCACAGGTTATTGGGTAAAATATGACTTCTAATCCCATCCAGTTTAAATCTTTGTCTCATCCAATTTAATTTAAAAAGTCCCCATTGAATTTGCATAGCTTCTTTTGGTAACAGCCCAAAGAGAAACATGCTCAAAGCGCTGCCCCTTGTGTCATCCCTAAAATGTCGCAGGGTGTGTGGTGGGGTTGCGTGTTTACACAGCTTCTCCACTATGCTGATTCTCCTGTCTGTAACTGGTGAACCTGTGGTCTGTTCTTTGGGCTCAGGCACTATCTCGGGGACACATCTGCTATCTATCCCTGGCTGGCTTTTCCTACCTGCAGACCCCTGAGCTTTATTCTCTACCTGGCCCCAGGCTGGGATCCACAAGGCCAGGGAGGCACTTGGCTTACTGCCTCTCGGCTCAGGGTCTCTGCCATGTGAGAATGAAGTGGCCTGGGACAGCCGATCCTCAAGGTTTCCTTTGAAACGTTTTTGACTTTTTTTTCTTTTCTTTATTTTTTTTTTGAGACAGAGTCTCGCTCTGTCTCAGCCCAGGCTGGAGTGCAGTGGTGCAATCTCGGCTCACTGCAACCTCCGCCTCCCGGGTTCAAGCAATTCTCTTGCCTCAGCTTCCTGAGTAGCTGGGATTACAGGTGCCCGCCACCACGCCCAGCTAATTTTTGTATTTTTAGTAGAGACAGGGTTTCACCATGTTGGTCAGGCTGGTCTCGAACCCCTGACCTTGTGATCCACCCACCTCAGCCTCCCAAAGTGCTGGGATTACAGGCATGAGCCACCACGCCCGGCCCTGCTTTTTGTTTTTAAAGAGTTTTAGAGACAAGGTCTTGCTCTATTGCCCAAGCTGGAGTGCAGTGGTGTGATCATAGCTCACTGTAACCTTGAACTCCTGGGCTCAAGTGATCCTCCCACCTCTGCCTCCTGAGTAGTTGGGACTACAGGTGTGCACCGGCACTCCTGGTTAATTTTTAATTTCTTTGTGGTGATAGCATCTCGCTATGTTGCCCAGACTGGTCTCAAACTCCTTGCCTCACACGATCCTAGCCCAGACTGCTTTTTGAGCTGTTGAATTTGCTAGGACATCTCCAAGCTCTGGATTGGTATATGGGGCAGGCTATTAGGTTGCTCTTTCTATAACCTGACACATGCGGAAAGACAGGATATACTCATTGAAAAACAGGACAACTGTTGGCTTGGCTTGACTTCCTGGCTTCAGGTTCCCCTTTCCCCACTTTACCCCTGGCATCTTTCCTCCTGGCATCTCTGTCCCCATTTTTCCTACTTTACCACTTCTTGTTGGTCAACCACTGAACAGTTTTTTTTTTTTTTTTTTTTTTTGAGATGGAGTCTCCCTCTGTCGCCCAGGCTGGAGTGCAGTGGTGCGATCTTGGCTCACTACAAGCTCCGCCTCCCGGGTTCACGCCATTCTCCTGCCTCAGCCTCCAGAGTAGCTGGGACTACAGGCGCCCGCCACTATGCCCGGCTAATTTTTCATATTTTTAGTATAGACTGGATTTCACCGTGTTAGCCAGGATGGTCTTGATTTCCTGACCTCGTGATCTGCCTGCCTTGGCCTCCCAAAGTGCTGGGATTACAGGCGTGAGCCATCGCGTCCGGCCTGAACAGTTTTTATAACATTTCCTGTTTTAGTCTTCCACCTCTGGCTCTTGATAGGCCAAGGGGAGGAGAAAAGCTGGACATTCTTTCTCAGGTCAACAGTCCGGCCTGAAAGACTAGCTCTTATTGCAACATCCTCTTGAGTGCGTGCAGGAGAATCTCACGTTGGCCTATCTCCTTGCGTTCTTTCTGTATTCCTTATCTTTCCACTAGGCAGAGGGATGTCTCCAAGATCAGAGCTAAGAGAAACTCTGCCAAAGAGAAAAGCACCTTCATGCTTTCTGCAAGGCTCTTGGATCTGTTGGAACCCTGAGAATGCACGCACAAAGCGGTGTGGAGCAACACACTGTTTCAATGAGCGCCTGGGTGCAGATGGGCTGAGGCCTAAAACGGCTGTCAGCCCCAAATGAGGACGAGGCAGGAATTGTATAGTCTCCTGTAAACAGGAAGTGGCTCAGTCTGATGTAACTGCTACGCGGTAGACTGACCGTCTCTCTCTGGGTCTTCCAGCGGGTGCATGCCTTCTGGCCAGCTCTCTTCCTGCTTCTGCTATCTAGCTGACTCAACATAGCTTGCGCCTTGGGACTGGGCCTGAGAAGGCAGGAGGGAGTTATTCACCTCCCTATGCCTGCCTCCCCCGCTCCTGCCACCCCCCGCCAGCCCCCGCCTCCCCGCACCCCACCGCCTCCCCCCCCGCCTCCCCCGCACCCCACCTCCTCCCCCAGCCTCCCGCACCCCCACCTCCTCCCAGCCTCCCCGCACCCCTCCACCTCCCCCAGCCTCCCGCACCCCACCTCCTCCCCCCACCCGGCCCCTCCCCACCCCACCTCCCGCCTCCGCATCACCTCCTCCCCCGCCTCCCCCGCACCTCCCCTCCTCCCCCGGCAGCCCACCTCTCCCCCGCCGCCTCCCCGCACCCCACCTCCTCCCCCCACCTCCCACGCCCTCCTCCCCCATAGCCTCCCGCACCCTCTCCCCCCGCCGGGCTCGCACCCCACCTCCTCCCCACCGCCAGCCTCCCACCCACCTCCCCCACCATAATCCTCCCCCCGCACCCCACCTCCTCCCCCCTCTCTCCCCCACCCACCCCCTCCTGCCCCCCACCTCCCCCTCCTGCCCCCCACCCTCCCCCCTCCTGCCTTCCCCACCACCCCCCATGCACCCTCCCCTCTCCACCCCTACCCACTCCCCGAGCTAGCATCAGCTTCCAAGCCCCAGGTAGTCTTTCATTTTCTAAACTGCTGGTTTCTAAACTGCTGGCCGTCTAGTGCTGACGGTGGACGGAAGCTTCCTGCAGGCTGGGATCCTGTCTGCATATTTCGCAGTGTGTTCCCAGGAGCAGGAGTAGTTTCTGGTAAAAAGTCAAGCAATATTTGTTGAATGAATTGATGAATGAATAATGATGATTCATACCAGAGTTGCCTATAAATAAGCATATAGTGAACCCAGTGAACAAGTCGTTTTCACTTGGAAATTGGACGTGAATATTTTATACTGCTCACTGTAAATATTCCTTACTGACGTAAAATGCCATCAGATTACCAATACGAGGATGTAGTTAATGTTCCTATATTTTGCTTTTTTGGGTCAATCATTTGGTAACAGCAATTAGAAAAGAAATTGGAGAGTACAGGGCCTGTCTGTGGAAGTTCTTCAGAACCTCAGTGCCATTGTCAAGAGAAAATGGCCTGGGTTTTTCACACTTTAGAGGGTGTGTTAACAATGAGTGGTTTCCCAATTCGATGCCATCACTGGCCATATTTGTGTTGAATCAGGTGCCCTATGGTAAAATATGTCATGAGTATACAAATATTTTTCCTAAAAAGTCTGTGCTATGCGCTATTTCTCTTTGTGTTTCACTTACAACTATGTCTTCTTTTCTATCATCGCACTTGGCTAATGATTGTTAGTAGATATTAGTCACCATAACTCTCCAGCATTGGAGAAGCTTCATGAGAAAACTTCCTGGCTCACGTCTGTAATCCCAGCACTTTGGGAGGCCGAGGAAGGCGGATCACCTGAGGTTGGCAGTTCGAGACCAGCCTGACCAACGTGGAGAAACCTTGTCTCTACTAAAAATACAGAATTAGCCGGCTGTGGTGGTGCATGCCTGTAATCCCAGCTACTCAGGAGGCTGAGGCAGGAGAATCGCTTGAACCCGGGAGATGGAGGTTGCAGTGAGCCGAGATCTCGCCATTGCAATCCAGCCTGGGCAACAAGAGTGAAACTGTCTCAGAAAACAAAAAAAAAACAAAAAACAAAAAAAGAGAGAAAACTTCCATGGGAGGTGGCACGCATTGGATGAAAGTGTAGTTATATAAAGAAATATGACTTAAAGTAATCCAATGCTGGAAGCAAGGAGAAAATAATAAAAGATAAAAAGGTAAATGGGAAATCTGAGCTAATGGTATTAGTTAGGCTAAGAAGGCACCTGCATATTTTCACCTTGATGGTGTCAATTGTGGAGTGCCTGGTAGAAATGTTGTGAGCTGCCAGAAAGACTGTGCACTATGCCCTTCAGAAAAATCTATCAGTAGGGAGGAGTTAAATCTGTCGTAGGCATATAGTTTAACACAATTTAGGACAATTTAGTTCCAGGACCTTACCTCTCCCTTAAATGATCACATGTTATAGGCTGCGTCTTGGCTACGTTAGCCCATTTGCAAAACAGGTATTAGTTAATCCTTATGGAGTTTTGTAGTCATGTACCTTGATGAAGAAAAATATTAAGAACCATGGGCCAATGGCGATTTAGTGCCAGAAACCAGATATCTCCATCAGCTAGTCACTTTTGATGATTTACACAGATTTCACACATGTTGGATTAAGTGCCTTCTGGATTATGTCTCACTGTTTATAAAACAGTAATTGCTTTTAAGTTTAGCAGCAGCAGATTTTTGGATCATAAGAATATTGAGTGAAAAGCTCCCATACCTTATTTATTAGATGCTGTGTCTACATTTTATTCTCTCATCAGAAGCTAAATACAAGTGGTTTCTAAGATACGTATTTTGACATACTTTATCATTTGGATATAAAATGAATGTCCAAGCGTTTCTGATTGAATGGAAGTCCCTTTCAATTATATAAAAGAGTAAAGACTAGAAATAGTATCATCTTCTCCCATGCATATGGAGTTTTCTTACACGTATAGTTGATTTATTTTAGAGGTATGGTTTAACCCATGGTATTTGTATATTGATGTGTTATGGATCAAGTTGTGACAGAGTAATATCTTAAACGTCTCCACCATTTTACAGAATTTTATTTTATTTATTTATTTTTTTTGAGACAGATTCTCGTTCTGTCGCCCAGGCTGGAATCCAGTGGCCCAATCTTGGCTCACTACAAGCTCCGCCTCCCGGGTTCACACCATTCTCCTGCCTCAGATTTTATTTTATTTCTGAGACGGAGTCTTGCCCTGTCACCCAGACTGGAGTGCAGTGGTGTGATCACGGCTCACTACAGCCTCCTTCTCCCCAGCTCAAGAAATCCTCCCACCTCAGCCTCTTGAGTAGCTGGGCCCACAGATGCATGCCACCATGCCTGGCCAATTTTTTTTAGGTTTTTAGTAGAGATGAGGTCTCACTATGTTGCCTAGGCTGGTCTTGAACTCCTGGGCTCAAGCAATCTTCCTGCCTGGACCTCCCAAAGTGGTGGGATTACAGGCGTGAGCCACCACACCAGCCTCTTCAGAGTCTTAATAATTGACTCTGTTAATATTTTTGGGATATCCTCTATCATGAAGTGAATTGTGTTCCCACAGAATTCATGTTGAAGTCCTAACCCCCAATGTGACTGCATTTGGGAAAAGAGCACTTAAGAAGATAAATAAGGTTAAATGTGGTCATAAGGGTGGTGCCCTCATAAGAAGGCAGTGGGCCAGGGGTGGTGGCTCACGCTGTAATCCCAGCACTTTGGGAGGCCGAGGCGGGTGGATCATGAGGTCAAGAGTTCAAGACCAGGCTGACCAACATGGTGAAACCCTGTCTACTAAAAATACAAAAATTAGCCGGACGTGGCGGTGCGTGCCTGTAATCCTAGCTACTCAGGAGGCTGAGGCAGGAGAATCATTTGAACCTGGGAGGCGGAGGTTGCAGTGAGCTTAGATCACGCCATTGTACTCCAGCCTGGGTGACAGAGTGAGACTCTGTCTCAGAAAAAAAAAAAAAAGAAAAGAAAAAAAAGGAGTGACACCAGGGTGTACATGCACAAAGGGGTGACCTTGTGAAGATGCAGCAAGAAGGTGGCTATCGGTACGCCAAGGATGGAGTCCCCAGGAGAAAACAGACCCGTGGACACCTTGATCTTGGACTTCCAGTCTCCAGAACTGTGAGAAAATAAATGTCTGTTGTTGAAGCCTTCTAGTCTATGGTATGTTGTTATGGCAGCCTCAGCAAACTAACAAATCCTCTTTCTAAGGAAGTAAGAATTGGGCCAGAGTTGAAAATCCAAGGACTCAGGAAATGCCAACAGATCAAAGCCACTGTGCACTTAATATCTTACCCCGTTGAAAACACCTTTTCCTTCCAGTCATTTGAATAATAAAAAAATCCCACTGGAATTGGAATGATCAAAGTGAGTATATGTAAAAGCTGAGAGATAGAAGGAAGAGTCTTCTAAGGTGGGTAAGTGAAACTTAGAACTGTTAGCACTGGCTGGCAGACTCTGCGGGGTCCCCTTCAGTTGTCCTCAAATAGCTAGTTACTGGTTTGGTCAGCAAATGCTACACATATGACTGACGCAGAGATTCCAAACATACGTAAAGGCAAGCATAGAAAAAGCGCAAATGAGAAATCATTATGGAAAAATCAGAGAAAATCCATAAAGCGTCTTCTTTAGTCTATACTGCTATTCTCAGTGAGCACATCTGTTGTGATAGGAGTGGTCAAGACACAGATGGAGACAAGCATGCTTCCCGGAAGCCTGAAGTCAAATGCACCAGGCCATCCTGCTGACCAACCCCCTCACAAGTGTTCATGAGCGTTGGCTCATTAGCCTCCCGACACTCCCAAGAAGGTGCTGAGCGTCTTCGTCCTGATTTTTCCTACTTTACCGCTTCTTGTCTGGTGAACTGCTGAGAGGCTCAGCAAATTGTCCAGTGTTGGGCTCCCAATAAGACTCCTCCACCCCCTGCAGCATCGAACTAGATTCCCCACCCCCACCGAAGTGTCTTCTGGACGCTGCAGATCCCACAGTCCGTCCATTTACCTGTAGCTCTGCAAATCTGGTCCTAGTCCCAAAACAACATTACTTGATATTTAAGAAGCGACCGGAATTCTGAGTTATTTTTACTTGCAATTTCAAGGCTTTTTCCTTTCTCCAAATCTCCTTGGGCTATAAATTAATCTTAGTCAAAACATGCTTTTAAGAGAAGGGGACTCAAAGTGGGACAGCGACTTGTTCTTTTTGAAATTGCAGATAATTTAACAGGGAATAACCTTTGAAGAGGAAATATGACCTGCGTAGAACATCGCAGTGGGATTGAAGGAGGCTCTATGTCTGAAAGCTTCATCTCAAAGAAGGCAGGTATTTGGTTTCAAATGATCAAAACAGCCTTGTACTCTTCTTGGAGTTATTTTGACA